TTTAAATGAGAAACGTTAGAACTGACGATTTAAATGAGAAACGTTAGAACTGACGATTTAAACAGTAACTAAGTGTCACGATAAACACTTGTCATTTATTAAAAGTGATTACTTGAAAATATCATCGTTAATGCAATAAACATTTTAAAAGCCACTCGTTAGACAGAAAGAAATAACCTTGTAAAAACTGAAGTTGATTTATTTAGTTCACTAAGTGAGGCAGTTCTGGATGTTAAAATTTATTCACTTCGGTTTTTAAATTACTTTCGTTATAAATTTACAAGTCACCTAAAAATATAGCCCAAATTAAAACCGAAAACGGTATTTTTAGTAATTTCAATATAAAGAATAAATAAACACACATTTTACTCGTTATGTGAGCAAGATAGGGAAATCAGTTTCTCAATCACGTGTAGACTTGTGGTCGAGTTTAACACCATGTGAACAAGATTGTTTATTGTTTATTTGTAATTAAGCACAAAGCTACACAATGGGCTATCTGTGCTCTGCCCACCACGGGTATCGAAACCCGGATTCTAGCGTTGTAAGTCCGCAGACATACCGCTGTGCTACTGGGGGGCACCATGTGAACAAAAACAATGATTATCTCGCTAGAAGTAAAACAAAAGAATTTAATTCCAATAGATACGTTTCACTTTTAAACTTTCAAATATCTTTTTATGTTATCTTTTAAAATTTCTAACAGGGATATACACTTCGGTATTTTAATGTTTCATATAATCTTCAATAAGCCTGTTCCTGAACTAGCTCTCTTAAAAGTGTATGGAAACAGTGCGAAAGATCTTAGCAATCTTAAAGTACCAACTTAGGGGTCTTAAATACAGAAATATACGGGTTTCGTGAAAGATTACAATATATATATATATATTTCATGTGATCCGGTTATGAGAGAAATAGTGATTAGACCGTCCGTATCTTTCTCTACAAACAGAATAGGAACATCAACAGAGAAAAGCTCTGCCGTACCAACCCATTGTAGCTCACTTTCCCACCTACCCTACTGTATTCTTTATAACGTAAAATTCAAAATGAATTTCAAGTTAGTAACTCAAGCCTGAGGAGAAATTACTTCTTATTGTAATCTTTTCATCCTTTCAACATCCTTACGATCCTTACTGAGCTTTAAGTAATTACGTCCATACGATCCTCACGGTTTACTGTACACTAGATTATTTGTTATAAGTTTCTAGTAATTACGTCCATACGATCTTACTGTTTAATGTACACTAGATTCTTTCTATAAGTTTCTAGTAAGTACGTCCATACGACCCTTACCATTTACTGTACATTAGATTATTTGTTATAAGTTTCCAGTAATTACATCAATACGATCCTGACCATTTACAGTACATTAGGTTATTTGTTATAAGTTTCCAATAATTACGTCCATACGATCCTTACCATTTACTGTACATTACATTATTTGTTATAAGTTTTCGTATGGACGTAATTACTGGTCCTTACCATTTACTGTACATTAGATTATTTGTTATAAGTTTCCAGTAATTACGTCCATACGATCCTTACCATTTACTGTACATTAGATTATTTGTTATAAGTTTCCAGTAATTACGTCCATACGATCCTCACGGTTTACTGTAAACTAGATTATTTGTTATAAGTTTCCAGTAATTACATCCATACGATCCTTACCATTTGATGTACATTAGATTATTTCTATAAGTTTCCAGTAATTACATCCATACGATCCTTACCATTTACTGTACATTAGATTATTTGTAATGTACAGTAAATGGTAAGGATCGTATGGACGTAATTACTGGAACTTATAACAAATAATGTAATGTACAGTAAATGGTAAGGATCGTATGGACGTAATTACTGGAAACTTATAACATTATTTGTTATAAGTTTCCAGTAATT